GGCTGGGCTGATGGCTGAGGGGTCGTGGTGGACCGTCACCAGCTTACTAATGACAGACACCTGGAGGGGATGAGAAGCGAGGCACATGCAGGTGGCAAGGGCGCCAAAACGCGGACAGTTGCTGCTGCGGCGACAAGCGCAAGTACAAAGACGTGCCTGCCACACGTTTCGACGCGCCCCAGGCTGAGGCGACTGTGCATGCGCACGGGCTAGAGGAGCACGGGGCGTGTGTGCGTGAGGCCGCACCTGCACGTTTGCGACGCCCGGCAACCCGTTGAGCACGCTGTGGCAGAGGTTGGCCTCCATAGGGCAGCACATGCCCTCCGCCCGCGCGCGCGTGTAGACGAGGGGGTCGTGACCCCCCTTGGGGCCGCCCCGTTTGCCGCCGTGGTGCTGATGGGGTACTGGGTGCAGGGGCTGCAGATGGGCGGTGTGTTTGTGGTCGCAGCAGCCCGCCTTCTCACAGCCCGTTCCGCTGGTATGCAGATGTTGGTGCGCGTGGCCAGCAGGGTTGCCGCCGCAGCAATTGGCGCTGAGTTCGTGGTCATGGCTGTGGACCTGCTGCTGCTGCTGGGCCTTTGAATGATGGCCGTGAACGTGGGGACCACCGCTGCAGGCGCCGCTGCTGCTGCACGTGCTGCCGCACGCGCCCGAGGCACACGACACGACAGCCACACCGTCTGCTGTGCTGCCACTCCCACTGGAGCAGGAGCTGCTGTGCTGGTGGTGCTGCGAGCAGCACGCCGGCTTGCTGCATGCGCCGCCGGCGCCCTGGACGCCAGCCCCGCAGCTGCCCACAACACCGCCACCCGCCGCCGTTGGCCCACTGCAACTGCTGCTGCTGCAGCATGGGGCGGCTGCGACAGACTTGGGGCTGCCGGGAGCCGCCTTTGCTTGCTGCTGGTGATGTTGGTGATCATGGTGATTATGGCTGTGGTGATGCTCTTGGTGCTCGTGAGAGGTGCAAGCGCCTGTGCCATTGCTGCCGCCGCAGGATGCACCCTCCTCCCAGCCGCCCCCCTCGTCCCAGGCCCCGTCGCCCATCGCAATCAGCGGCTCCCCCAGCACGTTCGGCCGCCGCAGCCGCTCGGGGCCGTGGTGTTTCGAGCAGCACCGCCTCTTCTGTGGCGAGCCTGGCTGGCTGGAACTGCCTCTGCTGGTGGACCCAGGGTCGGAGCTGCCGCAGCTGTGCTCGCCCAAAGAATCAGGGTGACGCGCCACGTTGGGCCCTGGGCAGCAGGCACCAGGTCCATGGGTACAGCAGGGCGCCTCCTGCGCGGATTGACGGGGGGAATGGCGTCGCCCGTGGCCTCTTCATCTTGCGCGTGTGAAGCGCGCAGCGCGAACCGCCGGGGTGCACGCGCCAAAACGAGGTACCTGGGCAGACCCGCAGGCAACATGCATTCTTGCGCGTTTCTAACGCGCACCCGATTCACTTGGCCTCCTGCCGTACCCAGCCTCGGCGGGCTCCGAGGCATGGCCTAGATAGCTACCCTTCGAGGTCTTGTCTAATCATAACGAAGCAAAACGATATGAGAGTGGTTTTAGGCTAATAACACCGCAACATCCTGTCGACAGGGCGCCCCCTCACTCTTTTAGACCATTCACGAGCAGATCGCTTATCTGAGCCTGATACATGATTGGACAGCAAGAGAATTGAAATGAATCCGCAGAAGTTTTGCTGAAACACACGGCCAGCATACTGCGAGCACAACTTTTGGGTACCTGCGAGGTACAACGGCCTGACACACCGCAAAGCGGCTGTGCCAGCGGATCAATAACACAAACCTCTCAGCAGCTTGGCCCCCTGAATCACCTTTGAGTGGCGGTCAAAGGGCGGCTGCGGGCATTCAAGACGCAGTTGACCACAGCACCTCCGCTCGCCCGCAGTCGCGATGCGGCTCAAGGCGAGTGCCCGGTGCTGACAACTTGAGCGACATGCTTGACAGCAATGCGTGCATGGAGGGTAGGGGCGCGAAGCGACAAGCACGCGCCCATCTTCAGCCTGTGCAGACAGCTGCGATGGCTGCTTCCAGTGTCGTAGGGCGGGGCTGAATTATCCAGATGAGACGTGCACGCGCTCCCACCCCATCCAGGTGCACGTTGCGCCCCAAGGTGAGAGCCTGGCGTCCCGCGACACCCTCGACATCCACTGCGGCGATGGCAACCAAATCCTCCAGTGGCTCGCGCACGCAGCATGCGCGCGGCTCGCGCACCGGCGAGGTGGGTGCGCAAACGGCAGCCGCTCCCCATGCCCCTTGACCCACCGTGCCGGCATGTGCATGATTTTACATAAAGCGTGGCGCGACATGCAGGGGGTGCAGCAAAATCTTTGACTGAGATGCATCATCGCTTTCACATGCGCTGCCATGGCCTTAACAAATGCTGCGGCGCAGGGGAAGTGTTGGGGTGCTACGTGCCGCAGGCTGTGGTGGACAAGGACGGCCGCGTGCTGGACATCGACCAAGTGCTGTCGGAGGCGGTGATTGACGGCGGGGAGCTGGTGGTGGAGTACGGGCCCGGCCCGCTGGCGTTCAAATCCAGGTGGGTCCACGCCGCGCAAACGCCGGCTGCGGGCGATGGGGGACGAGGCAGCTGCTAGTTAGCGTGCGCGTGCATGAGGCTGTGTTGATGAAGGCGACTGTGCTAGGCATCCTCCCTGTATGTCAGTCATTGCAGAGCATGGGCCGATGGTGCCCAGGACCCCCTCGCACTGAGGTGTGCTTGCGACACGCACCCACCGATCCGTCAGCCATCGCCAACCCCGCCACAACATCCACCCCACCCCTAACCCAACACAACGCCAGGTGGGAGGGGCGCCCCAAGACGCCCCCGTTCCACTGGTCGGACGACGGCAGCGGCGAGCGCGTGCTGCCGCACGACGCGTGGCTCACGGGCCTGGACCTTGGCCAGGAGGGCCTGGGCGCCCTGCAGGAGCCAGAGTTCCTGGCCACAGACCCGGGCGCTGGGGAGGCCGACCTGGCGCGCGCGAAGGACGTGCTCGTGCGCAATGCAGGTGCGCCGGCAGCGGCGCGGGTCGGACCGCGGCGGGCTGGGATGGGCGATGTAGGGGCGCAGCTGGAGCACGACCAAGGGTGGCTGCGACCGCACCAGGCTGCACGTGTTAAACCCAAGAGGCTGGCTGACTGCTGCAAGCTCTGCGCACTGCTGGGCAGGCGAGGCTACCAAAGCTCCCCATTCGCTGTGCCGTGGATGTAGTACTGACTCGACCCCGGCTGTGCCTGCGCGAGCCGTTGAATCATTGCACCCTCACGGCTGGCAGGCGCCTTGCAGATGCTGTTCCTGATGTGCACCGCCGACGCGTCAACGCCGGTCGAGGCCACCAGCCGCATGACGCTTGCGCAGCTCAAAACGATGCTCGCGGCGGCTCGGGTCATGGGACCCGGGGGGGTGGCGGCGGATGCGGTCGACCGCGTATTCGCGCAGGTGCTGGGTTCGCAAGGCGCACTTGCCAGGTGCGCAAGGGGGGGCTGGCGGTGGGGTGAAATTGCAAGGGCACGCCACAGTCAAGATGCGCATACCGGTGCACGATATGCAGCATCAGCACTTGGCATGCGACTTCCTGTCCTACCTTGCAGCACAACCGGTAGATTTAGAATTGCTCTGCGACCAACATTACCATCCCTGCCTGGCCATCTTTGCCATTGAACATGCAGGAAGGCAGACAACCCCAGCGCAACGCCGTCGACGCTCGACCTGCCAGATTTCATGGTGGCTCTTGTGCATGTGGCGCACTTGCGGTGCGCGCGCCGACGCTCGCGGGGCGCCAGCTCATGGAACAAGCTGTGCGTAGCGTCCGGGTCACGTGCGGACATCACCCGTCTGCCCCATCACTGTCATTTCACACGCTTCCCCGCCCTCTGCCGCCCCTCATCTCTGCCGTAACGCAGCTTCTCTGCCGAGTCCTTTGCGTCCGGCCCCAGCACCACGCCGCTGTCCACCAAGCTGCTGTCGCTGCTGCAGGAGTCCGTCGGCGCCCACGTGCTCGGCGAGCTGCAGCGCAAGCTGGAGAAGCTGCACGCCGCCACGCTCACGCCCGGCACGGCGCTGCTGCTGCGCAAGGGCAGGAGGTGAGCCGGCGGCGGGGGCTGAGCTGGGCACAGTGCCGTGCACGCTTGCCGCATCTGGTGCCCCAAATGGGTGCATGATCTTCAGCTGCTGCACTGGCGATTGCCTCCGGTGCGTGCACAGCGGTTGTTGTCACTGCTCTGTAACCCCGCCCCATGCAGGCTGACGGAGCAGGTGCTGGACCGGTGCCAGCTGAAGCGCGTCAAGGCCCGCGTGTTGCGAGTCGACCTGCGGCACGTCTGCAAGCACCTGCAGCGGTGGGGTATGCTGGGCAAGGAGTTCGGCCTGCCGGAGCTCGCGCCTGTGGCGGTATTCGCCAAGCAGCAGCACACGGACCCGCACAGGTGCGCGCCGAGCAGGGTCCACGGGGAGGCGCGTTATGATGCGCGAGAATGCCTGGTGATGGGTACAGCCCTCCCACGGAGTAGAATGTGCAAACGTAGCCGCCCACGCCTCTCCGTTATCGAGAAGCGTATCGGCACCCGCGCGGCCTGGATCTCCTTGTGCCACCAGGTTTGTGCTGCACCCTTGGCCGCTGGCGCTGGATTACGACGAGATGGAGCGCCTGCTGCTCGGCACCGCCCATGTGCTGGCCTGGGCGCGCAAGATGCGCACTGCGGGGGGCGGCTTTGAGGAGTTCCTGGGGGAGCTCCTGGACGCCGTCTATAAGCGTTCTGGCGTGCTGATCGATGCGCCCGCGAGTGGCCAAGCGGGTGGCCCTGTGCCGGCGGCCGGCGGTGCGGCGTCTGGAGGCGCAGGAGGCAGCGGTGGCGCAAGGTCAGCAGCGGGCTTCGACGGGGCAATCGGCAGCAACATCATCAGCAGTGACGGCAGCAGCAGCGGCGGGCGGCAACTACTGCGGGGTTCCGCGTCGAGCGGCGGCGCTCGATGAGCTCCTCTTGTGGGGTGGCATCCTGAATGACATCACTTTTGACCGAAACCACTAAGGGGGCCCGCAGGATCCCGACCAACGCTGACGTGCGGAGGCTAATTACGCTTGTAAATTCCCGGGGTTCTGCAGCTCCACCTGCACCGACGTGGGGTCAACAACAGCATCATCCGCACTCGGGGACACCACGCTTGGCTCACTTGCCTCAGCTTCGCCATGGGCCTCCGTTCGTCTGAAGACGCTTTGGCAGCGCCAACAATTTCCTCTGTATTTGTTTGAACTATTAAGCAGCACAGGCGTGCGGCCACAGCAGCCCACGCGCATAGCAGACTCTCAACCACCTTGCTACCCTGACAGGCTCAGCGTCAAGCCTCGGGAGCCCCGCAGTACTCTCATAGTGCATGCTTGAGCTGGTCAGCGACAAAGCTAGGCCTTGAAAGGCGCGCGGCGGTGATCCATTGGCCCCGTGCCCGAGGGACTGACTCCCATCGAGGTGGGCAGGCCTGGGTTCAGCGGTGAAGATGAAGCAGAATATCTGAGCCCCAAGAGCTGTGCCCCGAGGGCAGAGCAGCACTCACCCTCCGTGCGCGCGAAACTCCTCGGCGGGCCGTTCGGGTCATCGTTGGGTTGCCAGCCGGTTTTGAAGTTTCGGCTTGGGCCTTGGCTCTGTCTTACCCCTGTGCTGGGCAGTCCATGCCGCGCGCGCGCCGGCCCAACCTCTGTCCACCCAACCACACCTGCCGCTCCCGGCCCATGCCATTCTACGCCGAACGCTGCGACCTGCAGAATGATGGCGTGCTTTGCGTTAGAGCTTGAAATGGAAGTTGCCCAGCTGGAGGCGGCAGCCTGCAGGTGTGCACCTCTCACCCCGATGGGGCAGAGGTAACAAGGGGGAACCAGGCTGCGGCATGGGTTGATAGAGGACACTGCCCAGCTGTCCAGCTGCCTTCAACTGCTCATGAGCCGCCTGCAGCCCTCGTAATGCTTGGCGTGAAACTCCTGCTGCTCCCCTTGTACGCGCTCGCCCGTTTGCAGGGGGGACGTGCCCGCCAGCGGCGCAGAGGTCTGGTGGAGGGACTGCGGAAGCGGGGCGCTGCAGGGCGGTGCTGGCCTGCGCGACCAGTCAGCACCCTCCAAGGGGCCAGGCGCTGCCGCCGCGCCCTCTGTTTCGCAGCAGCCGGCGCAGATGGAGGCGCGGCAGCCGGCTAACCGTGCCGATGAGCAACGGCAGGAAGAGCCGCGGCAGCATTTGCTGGAGCTCATGGTGCCGACGCCGTTGGCAGCATCACCACCACAGCAGCAGCAGCAGCAGCAGCAGGGGCGTATGCAGCAGGAGCAGCAGCAGCAAGAGCCGGCAGCAGCACGCCCAGCGGCAGGCCCCAACCCCTCGGAACCCGGCAAGGTCCTGCATCTCCGGCGCCAGCCTGCCGTCCGCACGCACGGCGCCTTCCTGCGCCGCACGCTGGCGCTCAAGCAGCTGCGGTGCAGCGTGGCGCCGCCGCCGCAGCCCGCAGCCGCGGCGCCGACGCCCGCGCGTGCGGCCCTGCCGTCGCCGCCGCCGGCGTCGCCAGACGCCCGCGAGCCGCAGGTCGCGGTCTCGCCGTCGGCGGGCGCCGCC